CACCGGAAAAAAAGAGTAGTAGAGAGGACTACTAATGAGAAATAAAGGCAAAAGGAAACAGCAATCACCGCCGTTGAGAACCACTTTTTTGAGGCCGTCTATGGCATGACAGAAGACACAGCGCCGCGAGGAGAAGGAATACGCAAGAAAATAAGTCGTTCAGGATGGCCCAGAGGCGGCATACCGAACGACGGGAGCCCCACTACTTCACTCATACCTTTCCTCTCGGAACAGAACTATTTCATCTTAAAGACAGAAAAAGCTTTCAAACGTAACTGCTATAACTTAGGTACTGAAAGCGCTCACCTGGTTAGCAATTAACTCCAAACGGCTCTCCAGTGTAGATGAAACCCTAATTTTACCTCCTTTTGCTGAAAGCTCAATACCACCGGCAGCTTCTGATGGCAGAAAATTTTTGTCGATTTTCACCTAAAAAATGCAAACCTTGTGAAATGGAACATCTGTGATAAAAACACCGATCCAAAAAAGTTACATTCGAAGCGTGTCATCAAAAGGACTTATGTTAAAGAGCAGTCTCACGTTAATAACAGAGTTAATAATTTGTGGATCTCAACTCCTCATTTTTTTCGAACACAGCTCATCTAGCGAATTTTCCGCAAGATGCACGACCCAAGACTTTTGCCATATTTCCTACCTAGCTGCGCGACGTGCGAAAATGAAAACAGGGCAAATATAAGGAAGAAAATTGCAAACACCAGCAAAAATTGACGACATGGAAAACACCACCTACGTTTGTTTTCTCGCCCCATTCCTTCTCAAGAGCATCGAGACACTCAGGGAGAAGTTTTTCGACAAGACTGAGATCCCTCTCGCGACACCGAAGAAGTACGTCCTTCTCAAGCATTTGAAGTAAAGCCTGGAAAATCAGACATGCCTGATGAAGGTCAACTTTGAGATTCTCTTTTTAAAATAACACCAAAACAGGCTGCGAATCCAATCGGATACCGTACAAAATCGAACACGCACTTGCATAATAAGTCCTTTTAGAATCGCAGGATATCGCGCTTGATCGTTAGAAATCTTCGACAGATTCATACGAGCTTCATCGAGCACGTTTCGCATGTGGTCCTCACGAGCCTGAATTATTTAGGTTTAGAAATACTCACGGAAGCTCACTGGAAACACAACGGCTCAATCTAGAATAATAAGGGAAATGGCTTAAAAACTGAGATAGTTACATGACAGATGTCGCCCTCAACACCTCTAAGCACTAGGTTTGAACCCCTCCCCCCATGAGCTTCAAGAACAATATGAACGAATGAAAGTAAGCCAAGAATACAGATTAAAAAACAAAAGGATGTGTGGATAATTCAAGGAATTTAGCTCTGGAAAAAACATCGAGCGCAACAGGCACAGGCACCACAAAACAAAAAGACATTAGTACCGAACAATTCTATTAGCGAGAAATCAAGAAACTGACACGTTGCTGACAGCGCGCGTTTTGGAAGTTTTCGCCGCACGCCGGACCAGAGCGATTTTTCAAGCGCTTTCGCCTCATTTTACTGTGGATTTTGAGCTGCAAGTGCGCAGTATTTGGATGCAATAGATGTTGCATCAAAACTCAATTTGTTTAAGTTATCAGGAGCTACAGTAGTTCAAGTTAGATCAAAATTACTATGGATGAAAAGGCATGTTTAGCTGTATGGGACCTGCAAATTTTGAGGCGGCTTCTCCATAAATTCTTGGTATTCATGTTTATGAGACTGTAAAGGGAACGAGTGTGAACCTAACTGACAAATTTGTAGGACTTGAAAAACCTTTACCAAAGTGAGGCATAGCTGATCAATCGGCGAACTTCGCCGTTTACAGTCATATATGATGTGATTTATAGAATAATTATAAAAAATAGGAAAGAAGTAGTGCACGCAAAAAATAAATGACAAATGACGCTTCGCGCCCTCCACACTGAGCTCAAAGTGCTAAGTGCAGGCACCTCGCACTGTCGTCAACGTGTCACTATTACAGAGTAAGGAAAAGGGAAACTACGCGAAGTCAATCAACAATAGCGATGCGGCTAATATTATTTACTAATTACCCAACATTTCAAGACATACCTTTAGACACAAAAGTCGCCCTTCATTGAGCGAGTTTGAGGATTGGATCTTCCTCTGCAATTCAACTTGCTTCTCCTTTTTCTCGTAAAATTCCATGATCTTTTGACGTTGCTGTTGCACCAAACGACCCTAAAAGAAGATGTGGAAACGATAGCAGCTTGAGTAAAACTCTTATAAAGCAATGAAGATACAATGAGATAAGCCTCCTAAATTTCACCTATTTCAGTCACTGGTCTAGCAATTGTTTCGATATTGCAACTTAGCAATGCATTTGCATTCTGCACAGAGGCAACGTTTACACAAAGAGACTCTTGGAAGAACTCCGCTTTTCGTGCTCAAGGTTCAGGATGGACCACCCAAGACGCCAACTCGTTGCATGTATTCAAAATAGATGGGCGTTCCTTACATTTCAAAAGAAGCCACGTATCACATTTCAAGGCCTTACAACTGCAATGGCGAAATTCCACAGGATATGGTGAAATGCGTAGTGTAAAAACTTCAACGCGACGCTTAAGCAAATTCGCGATTACCACATCAACAAATTTCTCTGCATTTCGTTCCCTGCATCGAAACTCTTCCCCCCCACCCCCACCCCGACGAAAACGCGAGCGTCTCGAAATCTTTTAAAACTTCTGAAGGATATGCGTAGAACAAAACACAAAGTCCACTGAATTTCCATATATTCATCCATCAAGAGAACTATCTGTATGGATCAAGGCTTCAATAAGAAACCACCTGAAAGTTGCAAAACCCTACCTTTTCTATGTTGAACTCTTCTTCGGCTTTAGCATCAATTTCCTCAGCCTTTTCGTTGGCCTCCTGTTCGATGAAAGCCATCATATGGCGCAACTGCTTTTGCACATCATTATCCGAGATACCCATTCTGGCTGATTGCAAGGTTCGACCCTAAATTCATGTCAAAAAAATGGCTGCGATTTATAATATGGCGCAATATGTGACTAAAACTCGTGATATGTCGGAAGCAACGTCGAGACAAGCATAAACAGCACGTTAAAATGGGGAAAAAGCCCATAGTTTTGAAATGAAACATTCTGCGGACAACATTCAAAACTACCGAATTTTTGAAGCTTCAAGAAACAGTGAAAGGCAAGGTTGGCTAGTAGTTAGAATCTAGAGAGTTAGAATCGATAATATTAAAGTAGCTGAAGGATAGAATAAATCTGAACCGAAGAATATTGACAAACGAAGACCAACAATCAGACTGCGGCCTCGCGTTTTTGCGACCGTGCCAATCGTCGCGGGACCTACGATGCACAACCAAAGACCGCAACGTCAATCTGCGTGAATAGCAGCCAGCCGTATGATGTCACCAATGTCTAGATGTATATGGGTTCTAAAGGGTTCTAAGTTTCGGTTACCATTGTACATCTTTGATTCGGCGGGCGTGCTAGAGGCGAACCGATGCTCACTCCACCCAGTTATTCCCTCACAACTGGAATTTTTCAAGAGGCAGGAACTGTCGCACCACCTACCTCCTCCTACTCCATGGATCCTTAATGCTATCACCAAGTTCAAATGGGTCGTTGGAGTTCGGTGGTTGACGAAAACACAAGCTGTCTTTGCTAAAGCAAACCAGCGTAGACTGGAATTTCATTCTGGTCTAGTACCAAAGGGCAGTCGTGCAAAAGTCCATGGTAGCTATGTATAGCCCTATTTGCCAGGTAGTTCTAAAAAATAGCATGTGACGCCACGTTTTTCCCACTGCCAAACTAGAAACATTTGACAGCACCCTGCGTTCCAAATTGATGTAGATCCTAGTATTGAATGATGGGTGAAAGCGGCGTGTCTAGTACGAGTTTTGTGCAACCGCAATCATACGATGAGGCTACCATATCCTATCGACTATCTTATCCGCCACGTCGTAATCCACTTGCGTGAGGGCGAGTGCGAGGTAGCGAGTTCAAAAGATAGGGATTAGTCGCCAAAAGTTCATTTTGTAAAGCCCTAGGCCATTGCTGCGCAATTCGAGACGCGGCGCCAAACCGGCGCGTTACCATTTTCTTGACGAGGGCTACTGGAACCCTGTAGATTCTTCAACACTACTTGGCTGGAGTTGTTGCTTTAATGTGAGTAAAATCAGCGAGGTAACCGCCTCGCTCCGACTGATTGCTTCAGATAGTTTAATCGTGTATATAGTCAGATTACTTAATAATATTGACTTCGGGATCAGTCCAGTCGCCCGGTGCCCCCACCCCCCAGAATCTTCAGCCGAGGCTGGCCAGAGGTGACGCCCGAGGAGACGAAGGGACGAGGCGCAGCCGGAGTCAATCGTTGCGGAGATATCCCTTCTTGGTCGCCGATCAGAAGCCTTAATCTCACTACAGTATGCTCTCGCACTATCTGCCTCTCATCCCGACATACTCTCTCGTACCAGACGGCTACTTGTAAGGGGAATCCGCCCGAGAAGGGAAGCAAAGAGAATAAATGGTTAGGGGAGTTTACTAGTTTGTCTAATACAACCTTAGTTAGTAATTTGTCTAATAACTAGCGTATTTTATAACTTTCTCGGACTCTTTCACTCTCTTACAGTTTGATAGATGGCATATCCAGCTGCAGGGTTGTTCCCACTCAGACATATGTTGACCCAACACCTCACAAGGATAAAATGGTCGGCTTCGGGTGGGATGCGGTTTCACGGAGTGTGTTACAACCGGCATGGTTCACGGTTCACAGACAGTGTGGTGACGGCATTAGTCGACGGACTACTCGAACTCGGTCTTTCAAAGGAATACATCAAAGGAGGAATTCACGATAAGAACGAAGGTCAAAGAAGGGGAAATTGCATAGTTGGGAGACAGGCGGACCTCCTGAGGGTGCTGACCGACGCGCAATTGGCAGCGAAAGATTTGACCTCGGCGATCTAGCATGGACTCTTGGCGCGGTTGGCGGGGTACGCCCACCGACTATCTAATCACTCGCAGGTCTATACGTGGCGAGTGATTAGATAGCAGAGAGAGAGCGTAGTGTTGAAGAGGGCACAGCGATGAGAGTCGCATCAATGCGCAAATCAACGGGCAAGGAAGGGGTCCCATTTCTCGGGTTTCGGGCCGTTTCAAATGGTTTCTTCTTCATCCCTGCTCCACTGACCACCTCTACCCTTATTTCCAATGAGCTAACTTTTCATCGTAATTCTGCCTTTAGTCATCTCAATTCGATGCTCTCGTCTCTCTCGCCTTATCAGCGGCTCATGCCTAATGTGATCTCACACATTCAAACTTTTGCCACACTGTTGGCTCACCCACCTCGAAGTCCCTCCCCCTACAAGGCTTAGTCCTAGGGCTCTCACCTCCCTCCTTGGGATTTGGAGCCGAGCCAGGCGCCGTTCTCTAATTGTCTGTGCTCTCCGCCATTCGTGGCAGGACCACAGAAGAAAGTTCAAGTGGTCTGCGGGTCGTGTCCCATCCAGAGTCAACCCTGCGTTGCGCAGTTCGCAACGGCACGTTGAGAGATCCTCAACGCACGCTGTATGGGCGGAGACGCAGACGGCTCGAGCATGCGAGTGTGAATGTTCGCGCGAGAGAACGTGTCTAATCGGGCGAAACTGCGCAACGTGGCCGTTGAGAACTGCGCAACGCAGGGTTGACTCTGGTCCCATCCTCCCTCCAGGGGAACGTGTCTTTGCCGCTGATCCTATCCTACAGTTGGGGGAGTCAGGGTTGCGTCATACAAACGTCATACGGATCAGCCATACTCTGCGTTTCTAGACTCCATACAGCGCGACCCCTCAAAGAAAAAAATGCCTATACAGCCAATATCTTATCCTTCCTCCGGGGGAGGCGTCGGCCCAGGCCCCGTGAACCCGCCGCCGCGGGGCGTGGCATGTGCATCCTCTTAGGCGGATGTCATAGTTTTCGCTCGATTCGCGAACTATGACATCGGCATTAGCGAGATAGTGTAAAATGAACATCCCAGCTTTTACACATTCCATATAACGCACCCTACTCGTCACCACCCTGCTCACATTTTTCCTGGTTTTTCCTGAATTCTCGTTTTGAACTAAAGGAAGCGAACGCCGCTATTTCCAGCGGCAAATGCAACTAAATGAAAGGTAGACATACGGAAACCGTTATGTTTGGCTTAGGCAGTTTTTGTCGACGTTATTTGGTCCATAGGTTATTTTCGCCGCGCTCGTACTCTCTAACAGCTCTCCAAACTAAAAAAGTCTGTCGAAAGATGGCGACGACATGTAAATTGAAGGCGGAAAACCAGCAACATATCAAAGATTAGCAACGACGATTGAACCTGTGTGGGACTCTGTGAGTAGTTGGCAGCTGGAAGAGAGGTTACACTGGTGTCAGGGTCGCCATTCGTCGCGCGATTCACAAAAATCGCAAATGCTCTCCACTTGAGCATTTGAAACAGTATGAGTATTGAACAAGCAGAATCATAAACACGTCATTTACCCATCACACTCCAGTAGAAATGGCTGTGGGATTGGAGCGCACCTCGCAATATTGAGGGGACACTTGTTGATTTTTCATGTCCGCGTGCGTCTCACGCGACGGATCGCGACTCCGACACCAGCCGTTTGAATGTAGGTATACGAGTGGTGGAGGAGGGTTTCTTCTATGATGACGTACTGAGTTAGGAGGCGGACCCAAAATACCCCCCCCCCTTTAGGCGCTGAGAAGTCCCGTCCATCTACGTTCAGTGACGCCATCGAAACTGCCCCGCACTCCAACCACCGTAACCTTCCCATTGAAATCATAAAAGAACGACTCTTACATTAACCTTACCAAATGAATTGGCAGCGATACTAGTTCTTAGCTGTGTAACGGGACAAATCCCCATTCCACTTACTCACATTTTACAGGGTGGTCCAAAATTATGAGGACCGCGTGCGCGCGCAGTCATATCCACTTTTTTCCGAGTCGCTCCATTTTCATCTCCTTTTCTGTGCACTATGTGAAAGGGTACAATGTCTTCTTCCTAATGAAACCAAATTTCATGAAGTTCTCAAAACTAGTGAAATAACTACTTCACTTTGAGTCAGTCCTCAAATTGAACTCACTAGGGGCTCTGGCACGTTACATCTAGCAGCAGTCTAACCTATCAGGGAAGCTCTTATGAGCAACAGTTCAACTCTTCAATAAGTTTGGAACCACCACAGATGGAAAATTCGGGGACTCGAAAGTTACAGTTACCACCAGGATAATTATCAGATGCAGAAACTAGGTCTCCCCTTGTCGACTTTCGTACTCCCAAAATGAAAAAATTGATGTGAAAACCCAGCCAGACACTCTAAAGACTCCACATCTGTAGTGGATAGAAAGCCACACGAGTAGTCTACTTGGGACTTTTACAGGACCGAGCACCCAAGAATAAAGCAAAAATTCTCTAAAAAGCGATTTTTCGAGTTCGTTGCTTTCGAAGAATTGTTACAATGGAACCATCCACCTAATAGCTCTAGATTTCTGTATTTCACACCCTGGATGCAAGCGCAAATAAATGCAACACAAAAGTTTGATTCCCTGAAGAAGGCAGAGCAGAAGGCCTGGAAACATTTGGACACGCCTTAGTTGCGTGCAGAGTCAACCCTGCGTTGCGCAGTTTTCAACGGCCACGTTGCGCAGTTTCGCCCGATTAGACACGTTCTCTCGCGCGAACATTCACACTCGCATGCTCGAGCCGTCTGACGTGCCGTTGCATACAGCGCGTTGCAGGGTTGACTCTGGTTGCGTGCCACCGCACGCGCCATCCCCCTCATCCGAAGGCTCGTGTTAACGGGGCAAGTGGCAGATCTCAATTCTATTCTGGAATTACTTTGAGGTAAGAGTTACAAACACTTCCCTGAAGTTGGTTTGTTCCATCAAGCTACTATGCGTTTTTAACGACACAATGTCTTGGTCCTCATAATTTTGGACCACCCTGTAAACGCAAGTTTGCTCGAGAATTGTCAGTACTACTGTTTCTAAGCTTCTTCTGCTTACTTTGTCACTTCTTATCGTCTGTGTTCCCGTTTCTGCAGAGGGGATTAGCCAAATATCCGCCACAGAAGCACAAGTCATACGGTCCAGAACATTTCGAAGAGAAGAGGCTATGCCTACTTTGAATTCCGATGGAATTTCTACAAAGCCATTCGAAACCAGTCATATTTCTGCTCCGAGGTTACGATCCATAACTGATAATTTATTCTTGCAGTGCAAAGATTTCGTTACTAGAATCTATGTATTTCAAATAGACATCAGAAAGCAGCAATGTCAACGAGTTCAAATAGACTGTGATACACAACAAAACGAAGTAAGGAGAAGCTAAAATTGCTGGAAGAGAACACTCTTCAACAGCGGTCGAAACCCGGTAGCAATTAGAATAAATGAGAGCAACACACATAAAATATGTCGACAACCTAATATAAATAACAATGAAATCATTTCATAGCTCACGACTTGACCTTCTTGACTAGAATAAAAGCGTCTTTTGGTTCGACGTGCTTATAATAGTTCTCTACCACTCCAGCCTGCAAAAGTGTATCATATAGAAAGTAAAGGAAGGAAGTCACGGAAAGCAATTTGATGACGAGGTAAATTGACATTATGTGAAAAACTTTTAAGATTACTGACACGCCGAATACAGTTTTTGTAGGAATTCGTATTTATAATGGCAGAAAACGAAGAAAGAAGAAGAAGAAAATAACACTGTTCTCAGTTTTGGCGATATCAGAACAGCTATGTATAACACTGCCCTAATACCTTCCCATCCTGTGGGTAATTAAGTACCTTTCCCTTCATGCATGCTGCGTAGGGACTGATTATCACTAGATGTTCGAAAAAACCCAAAGGCTTCATTTTCCTCCGCAGATCTAATTGCAGAAACTCTTCAGAGGTTGTGTTGTTTACAATCCTCAAATTTTCCACGAACAGTAAGAGGAAAAACTATATAAAAAATTACCGCCAGTGGGTTTCCCTCTTGTTTGCTATCGAATTCGCGTCTATATTTAGCACTGAATTCAAACGAAAACTTCTTGTAGAGCGAAAGGGCATAAGGCCTACTGGCCTACTCACTTGGGAGTCCCCACTCTCCAAACGTTTAGTCTTTGATTGGCGATCTCAGTTTAGTGACAGGGCACAGACGTAGCAGGAAATATGCGCCTCGCGCCGAATAGCGCCCGAGATAAAAACGATCATGCTCGTAATCAGGGCCCCAAATAACCCTATACACAGGTCTATAGCGAATTTGGTGAGATTCAGTTCTGGCGCCATCCGGGAGCTAAATGCGCAATTTGCTCACACCGTGACGCTGAAAATCGTCTTCCTCTCATTTGTGATCAAGCCCTATTGATAACCTACATAGGAGAAGTTTTAGCAAAGATTTTTTGACCACCATCACCCCTACTGGAGCTGTAATACACAGTGCAATAGTGCCATCTCTGAAGTCGCGAACTATGAACGCAGCCTAAAGGCAGCTGATGGGATAGACAGGCGCTACGAAAACTGAGATGCTTGCAAAGTCGCTTATCAACGCTGAGTGATGGCATGGTTGTGATAAGATACTTCAACTGATAAATACCCAGTGATCACACTTTCGATCATCATATGGTGCTATCAGTTAAAGGCAGCGATTACGATAAAGTGGGAGCGCATCAGGGAAGCATGTGCATCACACGAATCAGTTCCCGGTTGCTGAGCAGACTTCGAAAGCACTCCGCCCCCAAAAGCGATCCGCCCACTAGTTTAGTTGGTGATTTGGACGAGCTGCGTTGCCAGCAGCGGCACAACTCGATTGGAGTGTGGTTTGGCATGGTGTACCAAACGCGTTGCGCTGAACTCGTTCATACGCCCGCTTTCTGAGCTGTTACCTGTTCATGAGTGAAAACCAACGGCCAAAAAAGGGTCCCATTTTGTTTTTGACGGATTTCTCCGCTTTTTTCGCCACCGACGTACCATTGAGCACCACCACGTCTCTACTAAACCCTTCTTGAACCTATCGAAGGCGCTGCCTTTAATGGAGAGAGGCGGTGAGAGGGGTGAAGGAATGAGTTTCGTTCGAACTTCACGATTGCGATAACTTTACTATTTGATACACCTTTCTTGTGAATACGCATCCCCTACACGGAGTTGACTCGCAAATGGAAGCAAACAGAGTGGAAAGCAGAATTATGCTTTGAGAAAAGTAGGTTTCGCCTGATGCCGACGAACAGAAATGAAGAAGCGAAAAATACCGTAAATCTTAATGTACGTCTCAAGTGCTGGATTAGGACTTCAAAAGAACCTCTTACTTTCCCATGCGCTGAGATTGCTACTTCTGTTTCTCCCATGATCAGTTCACACAAACCGTCAACAAGTGCTCCACACAAAAAACAGATACCTAATCATGTAAGAAAGTTGGCTTCATTCAAATCGCTATGTGAAAAATATTGACTATTGAAAACAAGTTTAGAAAGAAAGAAACAAAGAAATCGGATCAAGAAAAATCCCACCTGTTCAAATCCTCTATTCTTATAGAAGTTAAGAGCAGTTTCGTTGCTCGTTTGCACATGCAGAAATATGTTCTCTAGAGCTGGGTCCTTAGCAGTCAATGAGAATACGTAATCGAGCAGCATGTTTCCAACACCAAGTTGCCGGTACGGAGCCAACGGCCCAAGGGTCATTATATACAGCGATCGTTTCCCTTCATGCTCATCGATGCGACAGCACACAGCTCCAACCACAAT